ACTTCCGTTTTAGGAGAAAAAAGAGAAAAATAATTTTTGTTTATGTAATGACAAATGCTAAAATTATATGACTAGAAATTATTTTTAAGTAAGATTGACGGCTTAACTAAATTGTATAATTATGTTGCGTATGATAGGATCATTCTAATTAATTATAATAGTACTGTTAATACTGAAGATGATCCGACTGGGACCGAAACGTTTATTTTGAATTCATGTGTTTAATAAAAGAATTGTAATAGTCGCCACTACTACCTGGTGTTCGTGGTATATGCCTTTCAAACAAAGAATAACAGATTATTTTAAATATTTTGTATTTTAATTTTATGTCTTAAATAAAAAGAACTTGTTATTATCGTATAAATGGTACAATTCAATACCCATATATTTTTTATATAGTCATGATCATAAAAATATAAATACAAAAATTGATAAGTAATTAGTAATCAATAATGCATTTTAGTACATAGTATAATTAGTAATTAATAACCCAAACAGCACAAGGACATCTTCAGGACTATACTCTGAATATATGAATGTCCTCTAATGTCCCAGGATGTCCTAAGATATATTCAGGATGATCCTGAGGACGTTTTGTGCTGTCTAGGAATATAAAAAATTTATCGAAATAAACGCTCGATAAGAGCTTGTCTCATTGCAAACCCTTCTCCTGGCTGCCAGTGTGGTGGATTTACTGGGACATCATCACATTCATCATATACATCATCTTCATTACCCTCAGGAAGTTCATCACGGAATATTAATGCAAGATTGTGTAGCACAGCACATGCTATTACAATAGATGTAGAGCATAATAATTTTGTGCTGAGTCCTCTTGATAGACAAGGAAATCGGATGGCGAATCGGATGGACAAGGAATTGTTTCCATTCGCCATATGTTCTCTCTACAATTTGTCTTGTCCGTCCGTGAATAGTATTATACCTAAAAATAATATTTACATACATGCATATGTTAATATATTCATAAAACCATATATATGTATATATGTGTATATCCATAAATATATACATCAATTCCTCATCTGTCTGAGGATTTCCTATTGGTGTCAAAAGAAATGGTAAAACTGGATAACCAGAATCACACACACCAACTAAATTCCCATTTAACTTTCCCTCCATATATTGCATATATATCCTTGAGTTTTGAAATATCCTGCTATCAGTTGACTGCCAGGATATTCTGGTACAATATCCAAAAATTCCATACGAGGTCCAACAATAGTCTATATTATAATAAATGTTAAAGTGAAATTATTTATTATAATATTGTATCATTAGCATTATTTAAATAACTGTTAGAAATAATTATTACTAATTTTGAAGTAGTACACATACTTGTACATTTAATGAAAAGTATCCTTTTCTATTTCGATAAACTTCATCAAGACGATGGAATCTTGTATGTGTTAATCGTATATGTGTGCAATCAATTGCGCCGTCAATTCCGGGTAAACCAATTGCTCCCTTACCATAACCAAGAACGCGAAATAATTGATGATTCTCATTTCTTCTTTCCTGCGTAGTGGGTATCTGAATAATTTCTTTAATTAAACTAGCAAGTAGAGCTGACACACGAAAAATAATTCTAGATACTGTTGATTGTGACAATAATACTGTGTCTCCAACTACCATCTGCATAATATAATTTAAAAAAATTATTTTAATTTGAAAAAAGAGATATACACAAATGCATTTATTATAAATATATCATATACTTCTAACCTGAAAACTTGCACTTGCATAAAACCGTAGACAAACTAATAATTGTATAGCAGGAGGAATAGGTAAACCACGATTGTTTATTTTCATCAAATGTTCCTCTATTTTCGGTAGTATTCCATATAAAATAGATTCCTTACAGAATCTAAAGCGTCTTTTGAATTCCGATTCCTCGTAAAATTCGAATAAGTTATTTGCATCACGGATATAACGTTTTGGAATTCGTATTGCTCTAAGATCTTCAATATTCTCAATTTCTTCTATATTAATGGTTTCGATATTCATTTCAATTACGTGTTTAAATATCTGTTTCACTAAGATAATTATGATATCACACTGTATTCTAACCTTTTCACTAACGATAAATTCAAATAAGATCACCTTAAGAACACATTTGGCAGGACTTGACGAGGACGGTCTTATTGATACGTTATTACGTCATACAAGACTGTCTTATTTGAAGACGGTCTTAATCAAGGTATGCTTAAGGCGAGAGCTCAAGGTTACCTTAAGTCGCGATTATGAATCTAGACAGTGTCTTAAGAGTATACTTAAGACGATCTTGAATATAAGAACTGACTATGAATACGGGCCTATGAATTCATGACTAATAAGATAGTCTTAAGTCTGTTCTTATTTCGAACAAGATCTGTTTATGAATCATGCCAAGACTGCTCAAGACGTTTCGAAACAAGATCATCTTGGACAAGTCATGTCTTAAGATTTTACTCAAGCATTTACTTGTTTCATGTCTATGAATCTAGAAGGCATCTTAAGACCGTACTTGAGACGATCTTGAAAATAAGTTCTGACTATGAATACGGCCCTATATGCGTCTCAGAAAAACTTACACTGCTGAGGTTACCCGAGCTAAGAACAAAAGCGTGAAAGACTTTGTCACTAAGGCCCGATTGCACCAACGTTATTTTTGCTTAAAGCAAAGTTTAAAACTTTAAGTTTGTTGCACCAAGATATAAATGACACTTAAATTGCTTTAAATTTCACTTATCTTAAGCGGTGATTTCAGTACCGCTTAAGAGAATTTAAGGGACAGATATTACTGCTACAAGTCATATTGGTTGTATTATTACTGTTCGCGTACGAATTATTTGAGGTTATTAGAAAATGGATTTAGATTTCGATGTACTAGAAGATGATGAATTAGATGCATTTGATCTAGTTGTATATGGAATACCGCGAAACATACATATACGTGCTAATTATTTTGAAAAATATGACGACTTAAATTTTTTTAGAAGATTTAGGTTACGAAAACAGTCTGTTATTAATATATTAGAACAAATTCAAGATCGCCTGGAGTACACATTACAGGTAAAATTTCCTAATTTAATCCAAAAATTTTTAACCGTTTTTGACATTACTTACAAAACATTTTTAACATAAGGTTACAATATGCTACTATTATATAGTATATGCTAATTACAAATGTTACAATATATTATAATTATTTATAAAAATTTCTTTAAAATTATTACTATAAAAGAAGAAATAATTTTGCTCTTTTCTAGAAATAATCCAGTTACACCAATGCAACAATTGCTCATTGCTCTACGTTTATATTCGACTAATGGATTTTTGATAACAATGGATGATTATGGTGGAATGGATAAATCTACAGTTTCAAGAATAATGGTGAGATTGTCTGAGGCTATAGCTTCATTGGCAAACATTTACATAAAATTACCACAAACACAAGAAGACATTTTACGAACTCAGAGAAATTTTTTTAATATTGCTGCATTTCCAAAAGTAATTGGTGTCATTGATTGTACACATATAAAAATACAATCTCCA